GGTAAGCATTGAGACACCTGTCATCTTACAATTGGTATTTTAATCCCTGATTTATAATGGAACTGAAGCTGTATAAACATCAGGCTAGGCAAGGTTTTGCTGTGTGGTTTAAGATTCCATATGAACATAAGTCTTTTTGTAAGCAAAAAACCAGAAACCTTTAACAACTTTCTATATGAGGAAAACATGCCAGTGATGTGATTTCAAGGTACCTTGCTGTTGTTGAGTTGATTTATTCACTTAACAGCTTAATCTATTTCATCAGTTACCAAAAAATCTACTCTGTTTTTCAGGGTAACAAAGGAATCTTTGTTGAAGTTTAAAATAGAATTACAATGTAGAATCAGATTGATGTATTGTTTTATACAGGCAAAATGCCACCTAGCACTGCAACTCATTTGTGCTTTTATAGTGATGTAGTTCAAAAGCTTGCCTGACATCAGAAACCTACTGTTTTAGGATGGGTGCTCATTCATCTTGGAATAACTGTAACTGAGAAATTCGGCAATGATAGACAAGCATTAGGGTGAATTGTCATCCGGAGACAGATAAGACTAAACTGTTGAACACTCACCACAGCTGTCCTTTCGAATTTCCTTAATTGTGTATTTTGGATTTTTTAAGACTAAAAGCATAATGAAACATGGAACTTTTCCAGCAGGTTGACTATGAAAACATTTATCATGTTCAGTCAATAAAAGTGCAAGCAAAATGTGGAACTTATGCTTTTGCCAGTTGCCTTATTGCTTTGAAAAATAAATTTAATTCTCTTTAAAAGACATTATTTTACCCAGAGGTGTTTCTGAATTGATTTTGATTAAAGAGCTTATGAGAATTTATTTTATGCATTATTTTCTATTCTTTCTGGTAATGATTCAGCTGTCAGTTAGGTTTTTGAAGCCAAGATTTTTCCATGAAATTTTTAGATTTTATTTTTAAGGAGGGGTCATGATTCATATGCAAATACATGAAGTATTTACACCCTTTCCATCACTAGTTCTAGGAATATTTTAAATTCACTTTTTGTATTTCTTGTCTTCCATTTCCGTGGTATTGGAAATGGGTGTAATTCAGGACTGTGGATGTGATGAATGAAGTGTAAAAACTGAATTTCAGCACTGTCTTCTGTTTTAATCTTTGCTTCCATGTTTTCTTAGAGAAACATTTTTGGTTTTTGTTTTTGGATTTTTTTGCTTTATATGTTTGGGTGTTTTGTTTTTTTTTTTTTTTTTTTAATATAAGGTGTATCCAGTAACTTTCCTATGGGGGAAAATATGGGGTTTCTATGAGAAATCCTTGGGATAAACCAGAGATGACCATGAACTAAAATCATATCGCTAAACAATTTATTAACACTTTGGAAAAGTTGAACCATAAATCCTGTTTGTAGCACAAATGAACTCTCATCCCTTCATGTTCCCTTTCTTCTAAAATTTTTTAAGTTACTGTTTGCTTCATTATTTTTGTCAATGTGGCTCCCTACCTGTGTTATGAGTTCTTTTGTGTCCGTGTTCAAGGCTTTTCTGACAACTCTTCCCTGCTGTGCTGAATTTCTTTGTGAGCAAGCATTTAAATTCACATTCCAGCATGGAAAAACAAGCTGATAGAAAAAAAAAAAAACCAAAAAAACAAAACAAAAAAAAAAAAAAAAACCAAAAAACAACCAACCAGTGTTTACTTTTTTGGTTTGGGGTTTCTAAAATTTGCCCCCAGGTGTGCATTTCCTATAACTGTCTTGAAGCAGGGGCCATCTTGTGGGTACCATGATAGTACCTAAAAGGTTATTTTTGCCGCTAAGGTAAACAGACTTCAGGGAAGCATTTCAGTGTTCAGATGTTTCATTCACCCAGTTGATCCTTTTCAGGATAATTGGTGCACGTGCCCATGCCCTGGTACTATCAGTAGCTGTGCTCCTGCTGAGGAGAATTCTTTTTTGTCTCTGCGTTGAACATTCTGGAGAGCTGCACATCTGCACTTTTACTGATCCTACTAATAGATACTGTTAATCAGGGTAAATCTATCCTCTTACTTACTTGTGTATTATTGTTGGATATATTACCTAGTTTTATAGATAGCTCTTTTAGAGATATTGAAAGAGTAATTTCCAGTAGAGTTATTCGAAGAGTCATTTCTGATTGTTTCATACAACTGTTTTACAGAACTTTACCTAAAATAATAACAGCTTTTATTAAAGCTTCATAAAGAGAAATTTTCCAAAGAATTATTGACCTCTCTGTAGTTATTGTGATGATCTGCCAAGGAGAAACCCCATCTTTCTGCCCTGGTGCAGTGTGAATATTGTAATAGGGGCTTCTAAGTGAGATCCTCACTGAGGATTAATTCTGCAAGGCAAGTATTGTTCCTCTGATGACAAGGCTAGTGTAAACTGGTGCTGCAAATGCTGTTTGTGTTTTCACTGTCTTTGATACCATGCTCAGGACATAACAAACCATCATCAGGAGAAAATAGAAAAGGAAAGGAACCTAATTTGATTTTAGGAATTAATAATTCTTTAGATGAGTTTTTCGCTTTGGAACTACTAAGATGGCTTGATGTGGAAGCTGATAGTTGTCTTGGTGATTTCATTTAGTCCTTTTAAGGAATTGCATCTTCAAGTTAGTTTTTACAAATAAGCCTATATACTATGTGATATATCATTGTTGATACAGTTGTCAGTAGCAGGTTCTGAAGATTGTTTTCCTTGTGGGTAAAGCAGACTTTTTTGGAGAGCCTTGATATTACCTGAATGTCTCTTGGCTTGCTTCTCTCAGTGTTACCAGCCCATCACCTGCTTGCCTCCATTAACAGGATATCTTCAACTTGAAAGAAAAATCAACCACCATCTTTAGTCTAACTTATGTTTCCCTGAGCTAGAATATTGGAAGTTTATTTGAAGGCCCAGGCAGGTAAGAAGGGAGAACAAGCAACAAGCAAAAAGTGTCCTGGAAACCTTGGTATGTTTATCAGGGTAGCTAAAGCCATGCCTGTTGGAAACATGAAAGAAAGGGAATACTGAGGGCTTTTGTTTCATGACCTGAGTGATAATGAATATTACCTTCAAAGCAGACACAGAGTGGAGTATTCCCAAGTGGTTGTATGTGCATTTAGAATGAGAGAGTAGAATAAGGTTTCACTTAAAAAAAAAAAAAAAAAAAAAAAAAAGACAAGAAAAAGCTATATTCTGAACCTTTTATTTGCCGAGTTTTGTGACACATCCCTTCATTTGCAGATTGCTTGTAGAGGATGTAGAGGATTCATATGTCAGGACCATAAAGTTTTTAAAATTCCTCTTTTCCCCAGGCAGACAGTAATATTTATCCTGTTAGCCACCACATTTAATATTTTGATGGGAGTGCTTGAAATGTATGAAAATAATGTGCCCCAGTGCCCCGATTAAAAGAACTGTTGTATAAAATAAGTACTTTTGTGGTCACCATTTTTCCCCCCTTCTCTACTCCCTTTATTAATTTTCAGTATTATAGTGTTGTTTCCTCTCTGCTTCTGCCCCTGAAAGGAGTAAGGGAGTACTTAAAACCCACCATATTTCTCTGGTCACCTTCACATATCAGCTAGTATGGCCGTGTACTAATGAAAAAATAGTTTTGTTCTTAAGTGAGCTGCCTGTAGAGATGGTTCAGGGCTCCCTGTAACTCCTGCATTCCAGAAGAAGCAAAATAAAAATCACCTTTTCCTTGAAAGTACGTTTCATGCATCTCCATCTTTGTGATAGCATTGGAATCATTACACAGCAATTGGCTCTGATACGCTTGCACAGACACAAATTGAGTCCGACAGGACTGGTGTCTCATGGACTTTGCTGTCATTTGAAATGCTGGCATGAAGATGGTAGCGATGAAAGGGGAGAGCTGGTGCCTTTAGCATTTTGCCTATGAAGATTTCTTAGGCTTCTATTTTTTGATAGCAGTCGCTGATTCAAAAGATAGTTCTACAAAAGAGATTTGTAACATAGTGTAGATTTCTACCAGCTGCTCATGTCTTTTCTTCCTTGAGTAAATTCTTTTGAGCATTTCTCTGTACTGAAAATGGGCTCTTTATGCCACCCACAAAACTGTAAGATCTATTTAGTGGAATAATAATTAGTATACTTTTTTCTCTGCCCTCTTGGTTTTCATCTTTACTGCATGGCTGCCATTTGTGTGGTAATGAAGAGGGTAGAATCAAATTTAAAAAGCCTATATGTTGCTGATGCTTCAGAAAGTATAATTGCATGTCATGTTATTTTAGTGCCAATGTCACGCTGCTTAGGGAGATCTCTAGTATTTCCTGATGAAGGAGGAAAAATTTTTTATATTCCTTAATTTCTGTTCATGTGGCATATTTGGACAAGGATGAAACACTGTTTTTTCAAGTCAGGTACTTGAGCTGTAGTTCTACCAGTGTATCATATTCAATTACACATTGTAATAAATTAGATGGATTGAATTGAGATCTCAGCCCTTTATTCAATGCCAGATTTCTGTTTTTCTATTAGGCATAATTCAGATATGTGCAGGAAATCACAACAGGAATTTTAACCTTTGAAAGTTGCTGAACAATGCAATATGTTAATAATAAGTTCTGAAGTGGATTTTGTGGTGTTTTTCTTACCAGATGCCAGGGCATCAGCTCCCTGTTGGCATGTGGATTTGTTATGGATATCTAAGCTGCTTTGATTATCTTTTTGCAACATGAGTTCCAGTGATGTCCTAAACCAAAGAAACTAGTATGACAAGGTTTAAGACATGCTGTAGTTCTAACTAAAGATTCAGGATGTGACAGTTGCTTGATTATGTGGTAAAGGACCCTAAGAAATGTGTTGTAACACATTTACCGTGTGTTGGATCTTCTTGTACATACCAGTAGCTTGAAATTAATTATGTTTCTTCCCCTTTCTGCCTTTTGTCTTTTGAAATTGTTTTGCCTCAAATTGTGAATACATAAAAAAAAGAAAACAAAAACTCTAGTCTATTTTTGCTAATTGTATTTTTATCTTTTCACAGGCTCTGAAAATACTTCATCTGAAATTTCAGACTGGACAGACTCGCAGTGGCTTCTAAGCCAGTGAGAACAAGGCTGCCAAAGCATGCTGGTGCCAAGCTGTCAGATGATGCACGTAGTCAGGCCAGTGGTGGTGCTCCTGTGCTTGCTGCTCTGTGCTGATGCTGAAAGTAAGTTTATTATTCATTTATGCTTAGGTCTTGGCCATCACATGTGGTTTTGTTTTCAGCTGGTGGCCACTAAGAGTCTCAGAATGAGTTTACTTTTGAGTGATTCTTCAAAAACTTTCAGGTCCTCTCTAGATCACAACCAGTATTTGAAAAAGATTGTTTATGCAACTTCCTTACTGTTTCTTCTTCTTAATGCCCCTTTTCTTAAGCATGAAATGGTTCATGTAAGATGGTGAACACCACTGTCACAAAGTTACACAGTCAAAACAAAAACCAGCCTTCCTCACTAGACATTGGTGAAATACCTTAAATACATCTGTCATTCTTTGAATATTTCTATCTTAACTTTGGTTAAAAAAAAAAAAGACATCCCCCTCCCAATTAATATCCCATCCAATTAAAATTCCCGTCCCTTTGTAAGTGCTACAACAGCTGTTCTAATGTATTATTTCCGACAGCTGTCACAGAGTACAGTATCCAAACAAATCAAGATGAACTGACAGCTTAGTGGCTGGCCTAAACATGTGACAATTCAGTGAGGAAAAGCACCTATGTTTACTTGTACAGAGGGGAAACTGCTCGAGTTTGGTCAATTAGGTTATCTATTAATGGAAAGATAATATCTTCTTTTTAATTAGGAAATCATTAGGTCTGCGTTGTTTACATGTGTTCCTTCTCCCAGCTGTCCTTTGGCTTCTTCCACAAGTAATGTGCAAATGAGAAAAGCCATTTGCTTTCCACCTGTTGATCTGCAGGTTTACTGCAAGCTGGTTGTTAACACTGGCTACAAGCTGACTGCTAACATTCACTTGGTTGAGGGATATTTTCCTACTTTTCTAGTAGTTCCTGACTCTATGCAGACATATGACCCATCAATAACTTTTTTTCAGCTCTGTCTTTAGAAAACTTCTGTGTTTTTTTCCACACGTGTGGTAAATTAAGTAGAAACACAGAGTAATAGAATCAGGTTTAGTAAGGCTAGATGAATCAGTTTTCAATAAATGCATACAGAAGATTCTTCATCACCCCACCTATCACCTGCATTCCAGGTATGCAGTGTCACAGCAGTAAAAGAGATACCAGAATTTTTCAGTTTCATGCATAATAAGCTTTCCTTCTTTTAAGTGCAGATCTGTGAAAGTGAAGTAAATGGAGGAAAAAAGGACAAAACATACATGTTTGTTGTGTACTGACAGCTGAGATTCTTTGGCCCCTTTCCAGTTAGATAATGACCAGCTGGGATGATTGTGTCTAAGGTGAAGCCAAGGACATTTTAACACTTTAGCCAGCAAATAATTAATTGGGAAGTGGGCCCATATGTTGGACAGTTTTGCAATTGTAGTATTCCACTTATTTTAAAAGTTGCACAAAGATTAGTTTTTTGTGCATAAGGAGCACAAAGATTAGTTTTTTGTGATAGTTTCTCTCAGAATGAGATTATGATTTTCAGGTATTTAATATGTACCAGCTTTTAAGTTGTGTAAATAATTATATACATAGATGCAAATGGTATACATAATATGGTATTAATTAAATTGTGTGTCATGTATATGTTTATGTGACTCTGCTTAATATTGCATTTATAGTGTGAGTGTTAAGTTAATGTTCTTCTATTTTACTAATTTCTTTGAGGGTCATGACGTAGTCACATTTTCATCTTACACATAGTACTTTATTTGGGACATACACAGAATCTCCACAGACATAGTTATTTTATGGCCTGGGTGAGACAGGACAGCACCTGTGAGCGTGGTGTATGCAGACACACAGAAAGATGTGTCTTCGTCCAGGATTCGCCCTCCTTGCCTGAAGAAAAGTTCCTGCTGTGCTGGAGTTGGCTCTGCCCTCTGCTCCTGCTCATACTCTTGCTCCTGTTTTGTCTTGCACTTTCTAGAAGGGGCCAGACCCTACTTTGACCTAGTGCTTTTCTTGAAATTCTTCACAAAGAGTGGCAGGACCGCATTACTTAATTTTAATGGGAAGAGGACACAGAAGGTGAGACAAAGGGAACAAAAAATTTGTTGTTTTTTTCTGTCACCCTCTAAAGGCTATACGCTTTCCTTTTTTTTGGCCATTATTCTCCTGTTGCTAACATCAAGGCACTGCAGAAAAGTGTCAATGTTGAGTGTCTAAACATTGACACTACATTGTAAACTTTCTAGAGTAGTTGTAAATGGGTAAAGAACTTGTGCTCTTCCAGTCTCACTGTCAAATCACTGTGTGTGGGACTCGTAGCACCAAGTAGCAAGTCAGCTTAATGCTACTGAACTGGTTCCCAGTGGTAGTCCTTAGTACTTTTTGGTTTACATACAACCTTCACAGTTGAGAGAGGGAGGCAATGGGATACCTTTATTTCTCTTCATCATTGTGAAAGACCCCCCACTCTCAAATGTGCTGGTGTGGGCTGATAAATGTAATGTGTCAACAAGTATATGTGCAAACTATATTTTATTCTTTTAATCCAGAAACTAAATTTACATTGACTGAGAATAGTAAGCAAAATTAAAAGGTGGCAAAGCTACCCTTCGCTCTTTTTTACCTTTTGATGTCAGTAAGAATGTGAGAGTTGTAAATACAAGAAGTGAAAGCCTCAAGAATTACAAGTATTTTTAGATGTCTTCTTTTATGTTTGGCATTTGCAGGTTCAGTGTACACTAAGAAGGAGTAAAACACTTTTTCACTGAGGAAAGAAAGTACTTGTTCATTAGTCTTTATTGAGGAGCAGCAATCTACTAGTCTACAGTGTTTTTCATTGGGTGGGATGTTCTCAGTGGTATAGATGGCAATGCTACACCACAGCTTCTGAGAGATTAGTAATACAGTTTTGTCCTAAGATAAGTACTGGGTTTTTTCATGTTGATTTAAATGAACAGTAACTATCCAGAGGCTATATGCAGGTTCATCTGTTTAATAACAATGCATATATGTTTCAGAGATTCCTACATAGCATATTCTTTTAAGAACTATCAAATATGGTACATTATTATGTGTTTCTAATCTTGCCAAGGGTCACTGAGCTCACTTAACCACTAAGCTCAAAGAAAGATAGGAAATATAAACTCCTTCTAAAGTGTTATTCCTGGTCTTTCCTGGTATTCCAGTTTTTGAAAAATAGGAGTTTAATTTGTATTAGTAGAATCAAATATTTTTCTGCAGATAGTGTGCATCCTGCTTTTTAGTATTTGAGTTGATTCTTGTGCATCCTATTCCTTTTCTACACTGAGAAAGGCCTGACCACACCAGCATTTCAAAATTCTCTGCTGCATTAACTGCTGCATTAATTCTCTGCAGTAACTTTGTTTAATGCTCTTCCTTCATTCTTGGTTGCATAGCTTCTGCTCTGACATTTTTGTTTTGTTACTTCTGTAGAGATGCTGTTTTAGAAGAGAAGCAAAAATTCTCTTTTCCTTCAGCAGAAGTGTTTGCAGCTTATTGTAAAAAGGCAAACAGAAATACTTATTAAAAACAATGCATTTGCTGTAATATTGCTTCTATTCCCAGTTGTTAGAAATGTGAATAATGCTTAGCTTGTTCTTTGGCTTCTAATGCATAATGTGACAGTTACCATCATGCAGGGAACCACTGTACCATCATATCTCTAGGCCAGGATCAGTTGTGACAGGACAATGATTACTTACAACAGATGTTGGGGTAATTGAGACAAATTCTTGTTTAACAGGATGTAAAGACAGTAATTTAGTGTTAGTGAAACCATTTTTTCCTCTATATAGTTTTCTCATTTTTTGAAAAAAAATTGTTTTTTAGGGAACATGTGTGTTTTTCCCTGCTAATACCACTCTTTCTTTTTAAAAACTTTTTGTGTGCATCTACTATCTGAAACACATTCATGAAGTACATACTGAATTTTCTTCTCTCTAAGCACTTGTCTGTAAGAGTAAACTACCCCCCAGATCTTTCAAAGTGATTAAATTACAGAAAGCAGTTGTGTTATAGTAAGTCTTACAGGTGGACATACATAGTTCACAGTAAAAACCTCCACTGTTCCAGAGTAAGGTCCTAAATGCTATGTGCAGTGAAGCCCAATCTGGAAATTACTTACTTTTTTGTACATGTACATTTGATAGTTAGTGAATTTTTTCAGAGTACATTAGATTTAAACTCTGATATTATTTAACAGGTAATTTCAGTTAATTGCTTTCAATAGTGGGCAGTAAAAAAATTAAAGATAAAATCTTTCTGTTCTTTATTGGTAATTTTTTACAGTATCATTTGTCTTTATATTAGTGCTGATAGCATGCAATGTAAGATACAGCCCTTTCATTATATTGCTGTGTTGTTTGTTTTTTTTTTTAATAATGGTGATGTATTCAAAAAGGTTGAACTATAAGCTGAGGATTTTTTTTGGGGAAAAAAGCTTCCAATTTTTTTTTTTTTTTTTTTTTTTTTTTCAGGAATTTTGATATCCTCTCTTCAGCCCAACCCTAGGACGTTTTTCAGTTGATTTGATGAAAATTAGTATATACTGTTACCAGAGTAATTTTACGTTAGACTTGTTAAATATGATATTACATATGTCAAGTAAATCACCCATCAGTTGAAGTTTTTAGTTTTAGGGGAAAGTGGGACACTTAGTCATACCCAACCTTCCTAGATGCATTCATTTTGCTGTGCAGCAAAGTGACAGCTTTGGAATAAATCTGATAGTTGAGATTAAGAGTCAGGGAAAATGAAAATATTATACCATCATTCCAAACATACTGACTTAGCTGCAGAAACTACAGGTAATAAAGCTCTTTGCATGAGCCAGGGTTTATCCAACCCTTATTTTTCAAATCCTTGCATTAATGCAAATTTGAATAATTTAGTTCCTGCAGTAGCCATAACTACCACCATATCTATTCACCTGGTGCAAATTACCAACAGCAAAATTATGAGCTGCTTGAGAAATAAAATTTTTCAGCTAAAATAATTTTTAAGAATATGTTTTGGTTATCTCTGTAAATCTGTACATAAGAAAACATTTTGAAATGCCATATGAA